CCGCAATCTCTTCGTCAGGAAGACGAGACAAAACCTCAATTTGCTCTGGCACCGGCTGAAGGTCAGAGACATGGTGAGGAAAAGCTGCACAACGGTGGCTCCGCGCATCAAGGGCAGTAACAAAGACCTGATTGCAGGTGGTGCATTGGGAGTGGAAGACCGTGGTGACAGAGGCATCGTGGGGAATGTGAGAGCCATCGTAGTGAGAACGTAAGCCTTTGCCTGTGGTCGCAACAAAGGAGCAGGCCGGGCATGGCCACTCCTTGGTGGAGGAGTTGTCAGGTTCCGAATCTGGATCAGCCCCGACTGAAGAAAGGAGCAGGGGCCGTCTCACGAGGTGCGGGGAGGGGGAGGCCAGGCCTCCAACGATCCAAACCTAAGGTCGACTCATGAGACAGATGAGGGCGAGGCAGTATCTTATCCAATGTCGGAGCCAGTTTTGGGTTGGTTTTTGGGCAAGACGAAACCAGTCCAAGTGAGAAATTCCGTATTTGTGAAGCCAGCGGACCCACATTGGGTAGGAGTACCGCCCCGTGCAGCGTTGGGTCATGGGGGTAGGCCAGCCAAATAATGCAATCTTAGGGAGGCGGGAGATAGGCATGCGAGCGACATGTCCAACCCACCGTAGGACGTTGCGATGGAGTAGGTGCTCAAAGGTATCCCAGTGGACAAGACGACGAAGGCCAGCGTCCGAGTAACCGTGCTCTCGCAGATTGACAACATCAAGTCCTAGACAACGGCGAATACTGCGGGAAAGAATTTGTTGCATTTTTTCTCCTGGACAGTGGACCAAACACGAGACTTGCTGCAAGCTAGGACGGTACCCTTGAGGACATCTTTCATGACTTTTAGTTTGTGCGAGTTAGAAAGGCCTCGAGAGGAGCCCCGGCCATGGGGGTGCCAAGGGACCAAAGTCTGGCAATACGTTTGACGGCCAGAAAGCCGGCTTGGACACGCTTTTTGGTATCCGGCCAATAATCTGCGCAGTCATTGAGAAAGGCGCCCAGGTGTTTCATGGTGCGTCGTTTGAATTGGCTTAGTACTTCAGTGGCAGAGCGGCCTCCAGCGGCCTCCACTACAGAAGATTAGGGTTTCCCTTTTGCCCTCGGGAGGAGGTCTTACCAGCCGGGGCCGGGTCGGGCGGCTGTCCACCTTGAACTGCCACGGGAGACCCGGGCTGCGATTCAAAGTCTGCGCCGCTAGCTGACGCCGCACACGGAAGGTCCGCATAACAAAGGAACGGAACAGATTAAACAAGACAGGTGAAGATGGGCAGCCCTCACGGAGACCACGGTCGGTGAGCCAGGGCGAGCTCGCAAAGCTTGAAGGAACGGTGGAGGATGTGCTCGAACAATGTCAAATGAGGCGACGGCCCAGTGACGGCAACCCGTTCGGAGTGGCGTGAAAGAACGCCTTCTTCGATAATGCGGCGGGCAACCTGATGGGCATCATCAATGCCACGGCGTCTACGAAAGCCCTGCTGCTCCTCCGCCATAAACTGCTCTGCCCATTCGGACAGACGGGTGGCGGCGATGCGCGCTATAAGCTTGGCAGCAACAGAAAGCATGACCAAATGGTAGTTTTTACGGTCGGCGCGGTCACCTTTGCTTTTGAAAACCGGAATGCAGATGCCCGTTTTGGCAGCAGGAGACCAGGAGTCAGCTTCGTGGCCCGGTTCAGCAGTGGCAGCGTCGGACGTACATGTGGAGGAGAGTCTTGAAGACTTCTTGCTGAAGCTGAGATCCACCATACCGAATCAATTCCACTGTGACATTATCGCATCCCCCTCTTTTCCCATTGCGCATACCAGCGAGGGCGTCGTGAAATTCAGACCAAGAAGGGGGTGTAGCTAAGCTCAGATCCGGCGAATCGGCAGAGGAGACAAACTGCCAGACAGAAGGGTCAACTTCACCCGCGCCTGTCTGGATACCCGCCAGGAACGCGCGCCAGGCTTCCCGGTCCAACTCTGGGTCAGCAACAGTGCGCCGGGATGGGGCACGTGAGGCAGGGTTGTCCCGCATACCCAACTGACGACACACCTGCCAAAAAGCAAAATCGTCACCCGAATCACCAGCTTGCATAGCGCGCTCAGCTAAGTCGTCCCACCACTGAGCTTCCCATTGGCGTTTGTGTTGCTGAAGGCGGCGGCTCGTTTCACGCCGGCGTTGTAGCGCCGTCGCAATGGCCTCAGTTGACATTGCACGTCTGGCAGCGTGGATCGAGCCGGAGTTCCGCCTCGTGAGCGTCATTTTCGATTAGGCGTAACTCTCGTTCCTTCCCCTGAAACCAAGGCTGGATTTTGCGTTTGGGTACGGGGCCTAAAACCTTCAGAGCCGACGAGCGCATAACTTTGGTCAGGGTGTCCCAGTCCAGGGAAGTGGCCTCAATGTCTGCTAATTAGGCGAGGGTTGACAGGCGAGGTATAGGACTCACGGAGGTGCTGCGCAGTAGCCGAGGATCCGAGCAGGCGGAGGTCCATCTTTGCCCAGGGTCCAGATAAGCTCAACAGGATTGTGGTCCGTATGCGCTAGCCAGGAGGCTTGTGAAAAGTGAGTGGGACGTCCCAGACGCGAGACACTGCTGTGATGGGTAGAGGCGGAAAAGTGGAGAGTGCGAGTAGAACGGGCCCAGCGGCGGTCCGTAGTGCGAACCAGGAAATGGTCCAGACAGTGTTCAGTGCCAGTCTTGGGATGGAACCAAGCGCCTTTGTGGTCCTGGGGAGTGAAGGTATTAGCGACAACCAAGCCCTCTTGCGCACAGAACTGAAGCAGCTCTTCACCTCCTTTGGTACGGCGGTGATCTCCAAAGGGGCCAAGGACATGTTTCCACGCCGCATCTTTCGTGGCTCCGACTTCACCGTTAAAATCGCCACCCATGATGGGTTTGAGACGCGCCGAACTGAAGTTCAGTAAGGCACTGAGCTGATCCCTGAAAGACTCTCTATGTTGAAGTGAGGTACGGTTAGCCAAGGGAGCGTAGACCGGGATCAGGAGTAAACCCGGCTTCCACCCTTGTCCTTTTAGCGGAACAGCGAACGCTCGATTAGCGATGTCATCACCCTTGGCCTTATAGATGTGCGCACCACTGTTTCTCCAAATAGACGCAAGGTGGGGGTCCAAGGCTATCCCCACCCGCCCAACATGAATGAGCAACCAAGGGACATGACCGACATAGAATTCTCGGAAGCCATCCTCCGGAAACTTCACATCGGTGAGCAGAGCTGCGTTCCATTTTCGTTCATCAATCAAGTGAGAGATTGCTTTAAACTTGGCAGCCTGGTCTTTCCCATAAGGAGCGCCCAGGCCCCGGGTGTTCCAACTGCCTATAGTGAGGTGTCCCTTGGCAGGTTTAGTCAGTTGGATACTGGCTCTTCGGCAAGCCATCCTTTTTTACGTTTGTGTTTCTTACGACTTTGACGAGCTCGGTGACCACGTTTCCGAAAATTGCGTCTCTGGAGTTTCGATAGGTGCCACTCCGCTGGGGGATCTGGCCAGGAGGACCGTTTCCGTTTGTGGCTGATGGCATAAGGCGGGAGATCCTTGGCTGAGGACAAGAGCTTAAGCATAGCCAGCATAGCATAAATATCCGGTTCGGTAACGAAGGCCTTATTAAAGGCGTCACCCTGGTGGGGAAGATTGCAAAGTCGATCAAGCAGATCCTCACTGGAGAGGAAACACCAGTTTTGTCCAAAAGAATGACGACATAAACGAGCAATCCACACCGAGCATTGTTGGAATCCGCCATGTTGACGACTCCAAGTGTCGAAGGTGTCGGAAGTGCAAGGAGCGGAAGACTGGAAAGGAAATGCAAAATCAGATAAGACAGTACCGACGGTCGGGGGAGTGGAGGAGTGGGGGAGGGCACAGGAGGGGGGGGGAGGGGAACAAGGGGAGACCGCAGGGGGGTTGGGGGAGACAGCAGGGGAAAGAAAAGGAAGGGAAGAGCCAAGAGTAAAGAGTGACAGAGTGGCAGGCGCAAAAGAAGGAGCAGCAGAAGACATGTGTACTTGTGGGTAGAGGAGACCCATCTTTGGACCGGGACACAAAACAGCAGGACTGGAAACCTCCCCACGTGGGTCAGACGCAGGAGGGGACCCCAACGAACTAGAACAAGGGGGTGGGGGTCGAAACCCCCAACCGTCCCCAAGTCCCATGTCCGAAGGGGGTGGTGGCTGCCGCACTCCAAAACGTGAATCCCCCCAAGATTGCACTGCGAGGCGTGGCTTCGCCTCCCCCTAAGTCAACCTCAGTAACTTAGACTAAAACATACTGGGAGTTGCCTCCGGACCTGCCTATCGTAGGGGCCTGCCACCGTGAGGTCCGGCTGTGGCCGGCGAAAACGTCCAGGCCGGCGGATGGCGACAAACAACCTAGCAACTTGATGATGATTGTTATTATGATGATGACGATGATGATGATGATGATGATTATTGTTATTATGATGATGATGAGCGCGACGGAGGTAGCCCAGCGAGGTAGCCCAGCTTCATTGCGAGCGGAGCAAAATCACAAGGATGAGAGAAGTTAGGGGGGAGCAGGTTTGCTGATGGCTATAATGCGCTGAGGATGTTCATGGACCTGAGCAATCTGAGTTGGAGTGAGCAAAAAGGAACCTGTGGGTTGTGTGCAGAGAGGCAGCTGAGCACAACTGCGCAACTGTACTGGTGTCAGGTGAAATTCCCGTATGATAGCCCATCTGGGGCATTTCCAGAACAAACGCAAAACCTGTTGACATCTCTGTTCCATTTCCAACTCCAAAGGTGAGTGTTTCCCAATGTAGTCCTTCAAAGGAGTCAATATTTCCAACATCTCCAACTCAATTTGCAATCTATCTTTGGTTCAAAAGTAGACCGTGGATAGAAGTGGGACATCAATAGCGGGCAGGAAACCGTCACCTGTTTGCAGACCTGCATCCACCATGAGCTTGTGATCAAGCACTGTCAGCATCACCGGTCGAATGGATTCACCCCGTGTGCTTACCGGTCGAATGTGCCCAGATTCTCATCCAGCTTTGCTGAGTTGAAGGCCCATGGGCCTCATTTCTAAGACTGCGTGTGTCTGGTGTCTTGAAATCGGGAACAGCTTTGAGAAGATGGGATATGCTGTTACAAAACGAACCTAGCAAATAGTCCAGAACAGGTACAGTATTCTTTTGAAAGCTTGAAACCCAAATGTCACAGGGTCCTCCACCGGCACTCCCTCCATTGATAGTTCATGCTCAGATCAAGAAGTCCAGTAGTGGATATCACTCCAGTCAACTGACAAGTGTCCGACCAAGAATAGCGCGTGTCTAATCAGAGTCGACAGGCCTATCAGCTGGAGCTAGCCAAACAGAAAACTTGTTTATAAAGGTTCCAGTGGCATCCAAGAAAGGTGCCTCTGGGGTCCAGTAGGTGGGGGCAGCTGGGCACGCACCCATGAGGTCTGTCAGGATCTGACCTGAACACCTCATCGCATCCTTTTGATACTCGATTTGTTCAATTCCGGACCAAGCTAGGGAGTCTCGTCGACTACCATACAAGGAGAGTTCCCAAATGTTCATGGCAGTAACATCCCTGCCACTTTTCTCAAGTTCCACGTGTGGTTTCACCAACCTACTGTAAACAAAGGGACGCGGCTCAACATGATGCGGAAAACCAAACACATCGGAAGAAAACCAAGCAACCCCCCGTTCTTCTGTGCGCGGCTTCTGATTGAACTCTTCTCTGGTCGGCCCAACACCGTTCCCAGGTCGCCGCTTTCCAGTCGCGACCGCGCGTCTGCGCGAGCGACACGAGGAGACGCCGAGGAGCAGAAGCCATGCTGCAAGACCACGCCTTCCACCCAAGACCTTGGAAGTAAAGTCGACTCAAAGGTGTCACCTCAAGTGGTTGGCCACTGATCTTGGAGAAATGCTGGTCGTCAAGCAAGCTATGCCACAAAAACCATGAGTGGTTGCCAAGAAGTAGCGCTTCCCCTACCGAGGTGAGATCTTTTTCAAGGCCGCCATCCAAATCTTCAGGATTTGCAATAAAAAAGATAGCATTTCTGGAAATGCTTCTGTCTTGGAGCTCATATTTCGCAGAGTACAGGATACCATCCACTTCGTCCTCTTCAAAATCACGGCCAAGCCACTTCACCTCTTCAGCGCGAGTACCAAAGCGCAACACGCACGGGACCACCCGGACGGCTCGTGGCCATGACGCCAGGGCCAGCTTTGGGCCCAGCATTCGACGTCAGCTAAGAAGAGGCGCTCTTCCAAGGGGGGATTCGATTTCTTGTCCTGAAACCCCCGAAACTGGTTGTATTGTTGCCCGAAGGACGTGGGCCCCTCCAAGATCGTGTTTGCTGCAGAAAACGCGCTGTGACAGTTTGGGGGCAAAGTAGAAATAAGTTATGTTCCGTTCAGGTGGATGGCACCACTCTTGCTGATCTTTCTGTTCAGTGGTATACCAAGCAAAACTGGTGTTTCTGTTTATCTTTGTCTGCGTGGTTAGGGTTAGGACTCTAACAGTGCGATGGTTTTGGCCGTTAGCACTGCAAACTTAACCTGAGCACAGCACAGCCCCGCAGCATACGAGGAACCAGACTGTGAGCATGTTTGGAAAGGTAAACGGTTTGCACATCTGGTGTTGAGAAGCAAACCTGCTAACTGTATATACAAGAGACGTTGCACCCTGCTACAATCGAACACTCAGCCAAAAAGCACGAGAGTGGCTTGTCCTGAGCCTACACCGAGAAGAATTAGAATAGTGCCACCGACGACACCTGTAATCGCAGCTTCCTGATTTTGTCCTGGCTGGGCCGCAACTTCCTGTCTCAATCTCCGCTTCAGTTGAGAATCTCGCAGGCGTGTCCAGTGTGATGGCCTCTTCAGGGGCGTGACCCAAGGTCTCGTGGCACAGAACCGCAAAAAATGCATGCCTGTCCAGCTACAGCTGGAAGAAACTATATACTCATTTTTTGAGGATTCATCTCCCTGAACTCCCATGGTTTTACCCTTACTTATGCACAGCAAAGAACCTGCTTCTTTGTGTCCGGTGTCTTTTCTTTAATGCTTTTCCACACCTGCTCTGGGTGTCTGGTCGGCATGAGACAGCAACCGTTCAGGCGAGACAACGGCCGCCTGTACGATAGGACGGTGCGTCTGGTACCTGCGCCAAGAGGCTGGAAGGATCTGTGCGTTGATGGTTTCTGTTGATCCAGTGAAATTGGATGAAATCGGCATGTTTCTTCTTGGCATGCTTGATTGTGCACCCTCCTGGTTTGAAGACGGCTACCCTGTGCCCCAAAAACGTGAGAAGCATTCGAGCCTGAGCCCTTAGAAGCCCCACATGGCAGGGCCAGTAGTGCCAAACATGCCTCAAGTGCCAGCTGTTCGAGAAGTTTTCTGAAAGCGAAAAACCTGCGAAGGACGAAACAAACGGGCAATGCAACTGTTTTGGGTTACTCGGTGGAAGAGCTGTGTAGAAGGGACAAAGTCATCGCTCCAAGAGCTGTGTTTCATCTGAGTTCGATCAAGAGCTGTGCATCAAAGCCCATGTACCACAGCTCTTGATGCCTTCTTCCCAAAAAGGCGTGATCAATGGAACTGCTGCCTTGGGGGGATGTCACATGCACATTCACAAATTCACGGAGATCCAAATGCTAAGCAAGGATCCATTCTGGAAGAGCATGCCAGTAATCGCCACCTCCAATTCAAGTTCAATTCAATCACACATCCGGTTGACTGGGGTGACTGGAGAGGGCTCAGAGGGCCTATTGTTTTCAGAAACCGAGTGCAATCAAAGCTGATTGTAGATTCACATCTGTTAGAGCTCCTTTCAATGATTGCGTGAAGTGTAAGACGGACAGTTCATGAACCCAAGACAGTTTGTGCTCTCCTGACATGAGTTATATATTCCTACTAGTATATATTTCTATTGGCTTTCGATCAAGACGCCCCTTCGGTATCTGCTGACATTATGCTATGTCAGCCTCCCGTCCGCTCCAACCACTCAACCTTTGCGTCCAGCTTCGTCACAAATCTAGCCATCCAAGACTTTCTCATTCTCAGGAGATGTCTCTCGGGAGTTCTTCGGTGCCGCTCCTCTTAGACCCTCAGCACGGCAGCGGGCCCCGCGGTTTACGCGGAGAGATTTCGCTCTGGGCCCTCCTGCCATGGCCAGACGGCCGTTGGCCAACTCCGAGTTCAGCTTCCTGGCCGATCCGATCGCTGCGACAGACGACATCACTGACATCACTAGTAGGGTCGGTCGCGATCATGATGGGTTTGGTGTGAAATCCACCAGCCATTTTCAGGGTTCGGCAGGTGAAGCAGTGCTTTTCAGGTTCAATCTCATGTCTTTCCGTTTCATCATACACTAGTCCATGAACGGTGGGACCGGTTGCCAGCTATGAAAGTCTGTTCCCTTCATATTGGAGAAGTGTTTGGTCTGCAAAAAAAGGATATGCGGCTATGCCACTATGATATTCTGTGCAATGGATAATTTTGTTTTATTCTGGAGATTTACTCTCAGCGTTGCCCTTCGTTCATGGTGACGGACCCGGCGTATTTGGGGTCGTAGGATCTGGGGGCGATTTGCGGGACCAAGTGAAACAAGTCGTATATGTCTCATGAATTCTTACATGCATCAACAGCATGTCCCAGCGATTTAAAATCAGTGAAACCACCACACGTCCTGGACTTGCTCAAACACCTCGAAGCTCAACCCGAAAGCATCCTGCCCCCCCCCCCCGTGAAGCTCGCCTCTTGCGTCCCTCAGCATCGCTCATGGGGCCACTGGCGTTGGGCACGCCCAAAATGCCGGCGTTCCTCGGTGGGCAGTCCTGACTGGGCAGTCCCTGCTGGTGGCCACGGCCAAACTGCAACCGAACAATCACCGAATCAAGGATAAAAACGTCCATCAAAGTCATGGATGGAGTAAGAACATGTAAGAACTAAAAGTACACTACACTGGCTAGCACCGGCTACCCAATGACAGTGTTTAAAGCGCTCTAAAAGAGGCGTTGCAAAGCTTTATCTAGCTCAAACCGCTGGACATCATGTTCCTCTTATTGGAAGTCTTCTGAAACCATTCTTCACTGCTCGCTGTCTCAGTCCCCTCAATCTATCTTCTCTGCGAAGGGGTTCTTCTTGTCACCCACACATTTCACGCGCGGTCGACCGAAGCTCGTGGCAGAAAGCCACCCGTCATTCACCACGGTGCAGCTTAGGCTCTCGTAGTCACCAGGATCACGAGAGTCATCCGCCCTGAGTGGGTCAGCTGGCAGAAGGTCCCTCCACCGCCCTTGGTGAGGGTCCCTCCATGGGGTCTTGAACTATCTGCACTGGTGCCTTCCGACAGGTCCCACGATGTCCCACGGGCTTGTGGAGCCTGTAGAGGCCGAAGTCCACCATGCCGCAGAAGAGGAAGATCTGGATCCAGCCGGTCAAAGGCACCTGGAGACATCTGGATCAGTTCTCTCCTCATGGGAGACTGCTGTTCGAGAGAGAAATCTGGGCAAGAAAAAACACTCTAAATATCCTGCATCGCCCTGGAACCATGAAACTCCGATGGTATTTGCAGCTATGTCACATTACGATCATTATGTCACTATGTCTGTCTCATGCACCAAAGGAATCTGAAGGACTTGTCCCATCGACACTACTAGCATGGAGCGTCCAAAAGAGCATCCAAAGGTGATCCACATCCAACACACTAAATCCCAAATTCGAGATGGATCCAACTACCAACCCCTACTACCCTACTACCCTACTATCACATCTCCAACCCCAACCGGGCCTTGAACACACCCGTCCGTCTTTTCGGAAGCACCTTGGAGAGCGCCGCCAAGCCGTTGGGCACGTCCGCGAACTTGAGGCCCTTCGCAGGCCTCGAACAGCGACGGCCGTGGGGCCACGGCCACGGACGGCACGGACGCTGTATACGGCTCTGAGGAGCAGGCGAGAGGTAACCAGGGAAGCGGAAGTACTCCGGCAGGATGACTGAGCGAAAGTGCGAAATGGTCAGTCAAGTGCGGTAGTTAGTCGTTTCTTTTAAAGTGGAGCATGGTTGATATGCATGAGAGTCGAGCATGATGAGCCCGATGAGCCCCTCATATAAATCCTGGTTCCATCTGGTTCCCTAACCTTGGGTCCATTCTCCACCACAAAACATTGAACAACTCCTCAACGATGGGGGATGGAGCACATGTCGTTTATTTAATGTCCTGCCGACTGCTTGTCCCCAAGCAAAGAGTCCCAATGTGATCACCGAAATCCCCGTGTCTCCGTGGTCTTCAATTCGCTCGACCGCGCAGAGCCGAGCTGCAGCCCATGGTGGCGAACATCGCCACACGGCCGTTCTTCAGCTCGCTCTCGCGGCGGCGGCGGAAGGTCTTCACGTCCCCGTCCTCCGGGAAAGTTTTTTGGCTGTGCGGAACCGGCGCCCGCAGCCCGCAGCTAGGCGGACACAAATTCTAAGTTGATTCACCCTGATTCCGAGAGGATAATTTGAGCTGTTCTTCCAGATCACTCCCTTGCAAAAAGCTTCGATGTCCGTCGGACTCCGAAGATATCATCTGACCCCAAAAAAGCATGGTCGAGTCATGAGCATGGTCAAAACAAGTGAACCCCCCAGCGACAACAAATCGACAAGAATATCAATACAAAAGCCAAAAAAGAGTTGCTTCTTTTTCAAAAAAAAACAAAACAATGGGAAGAAAAGCAAAACAGGTGGCAGCTCCCGGAGTTCCCACTGATGCCGTTTTCTTCCTTGGACATGCCCAAAGGATCGAAGTAGCCCACCGGCGCCTGGAAGAATAGTCGGTCCACGTCTCCACAAAAGGCTCCGCACAGGGACAATTGATTCAACTTGAAGAGACTTCAAAGTGTTCACAATGTTCACAAGACTGATTGATTCAACTTGAAGAGATTGATTAGAATCGTTGGCAGGACAAGGCGGTCAGAGGACGAGGTCAAAGGACGAGCTTTTCAACTCCATGTCTCTTTTGCTTTGAGCATCGGCCTGAACACCCAGCTCGTTCTCAAAGGCGCGCAGCGGGGAGTCCGTGTAGCTCGCCCAATCTCCCCAAGCGGAGCCCGTGAGGCCGTCCTGACAAGTGAAGCCGGGCCATCCACAAGGCCATCCTGACCTCCGCAAAACCTCCGAGGTTGAGTTTTCCCAAGTGGTTGACCAATGGTCATCCATCCACAGGGTCTTTGGGATTTATATGGATTTATGGGTTTTAAGCCTCTTGAGGGGGTTGAAGGACCTGCTGTGAATCCCACTGGTTTCTTAGTCACACAGAAAATGGAGGTCTTCTCCACCCATGTAGATCATGCTTTGAGAAGGGTTGCATAGCATTTCTTGGAAAATTCGGCGGACCTGTAAAAAGTCACTGACATATGAGTCAAAACATGGTTAGACAGTTAGACACTCCAAGAGTGACCGGTGACCAACCCTGGGATCGATGATCCCATGATGCATGGGATCTCCATTGAAAAGCATGAACGACAGGCTCCCAGTCCAATCCAATTGTATTGGTCCACTTGCTTCACACCTTCGTGATCACCATCTCTTTGATGTCACACGCGCACATACCATCACCATCACGCAGGATCCCGACTCGGTGACTCGTCTTCGTACGGAGGAACCGCTCCCCGAAGCCGCTGCACGGTGCACCGGGCACGGGTCCTGAAAGAACATGCCGATGATGGCCATCATTGCCTTTGTCGAGCTGCAAGAACATGCCATCATTGCCATCACATGTTTTGTGTTTGCAACATCTGATGTGTTAGGTCAGGTGTGGCTGCAAAGAACCGTGCAGCGGCCCTTTTATTCATCACCTGCTCCTTTAGATGAACTCAAAAGTGATTGCTGCTCTGACAAAAGAACGTTTGTATTTCTGCTCAGGTCTTCGCAACAGTACTGACTTTCAGAACCGGGTGTATGGTTGTGACATCAACCCCACATGAAAATAGGGGGATCGATCTCCCAAAGACCCCCTCCCCTGGAAGAAGGAAGACCGTCTCCAATAGTCGGGGTGGCACTCCATCTGAGGTTTATTTTTGGAGAAAGTTCCTGCAACCCGTAGCACAGCTAGAGGCCACCCACCTAGCCATAGCTTTTGCCAGCTACTGCCAGTTGGTATACAAACAGACAGTTGCTTGAACATGCTCTCCAAACGATTTCGCATTCACACTTTAGTCTCACCTTTGAATTGGCTCAAGTCACAGCATAAGTCCGATGCGTTGCATTTCGATTCGACACGCGCAAATCGAGAAGTGTAAGCACACTCCATAGATATAGATATAGAGAAGTATCCCTACTACCTTTGCTTTTGGTTTGCTACCGAACTCTGGTAGCGGAGCCAATTTGCTTGCTCCTCCGCACCAGCTCAGGTATTGCTTTGCCTTGAATCGCATCTTCGCCACAGCATTCGCACCATTGTCTTTGAGTTCGGAACTCGCGCGCGCTTTGCTGCACCATTGCTACTATACACTACTCTCACCTCTGCCACCACAACACGCCACCTTGCTTTGTTTCTGAATGACGGAGTCTGCGGTGTTTTCGCAGCTACGCCTATAGCAAGGATGCGCCACCCGGTTGGAAACCCAGATCCTACTCTATTGCCAAATGGAAAGCTCCTCACACGCTCGGACCCAGAGTAGCATGGAGCCGGAAGGACCTGCATGACAGACTGCCAGGAACCTTGAGATTGTTCGACAAGTTCAACAGCCAAATGGACCTGTGGTTCCAATCACCTGCCGAATCTCACTGAGACACCAGCCGTTTTGCATCCCACAAGAACCACCGCTGCGCCTCCCTACAGCCAAGTCATTGGTCAACCTCCTCGTGACTCAGTTCTGGATGAATGACAAAGACAGAGCATGGAGTTCCTTGGATGCCTTCTTTTCCACTCGACAACATTCAGGAGAACGGTTTGATGAGTTCTGCTCCCGATGGGATCGCCTGTATGTTGAAGCTTGCACCAATGCCAACCTCCAAGGTGAACGCCGTTTCAAGGCTATCTCCTCTTCTCCCAGGACACTCTGTCCGATCAGCAGATCCCTGCGTGTTGACGGCGATCTGAATCGCTTCAGAGAGATGGTGACTTTGCAGAGTCGTCTCAGCCGCAGCCAGGATGTCATCACTGCATTTCGACTTTCTGCAAGCCTGCGCAGTCGAAATGCGCATTGATGATGTCGAGAGGCATGAACGCACCGTAAATACCAACGAATTGGCCGTTCACGCCCGCGCGGAACAGCGATCTAAGCACACCTGCTTTTCACTTACCGTAAGAACCCCTCAGTGCCCACACTGTTTGGGGAACTGCTCTCAATCGAAGATGGAATTCTTGCAAAAGTCAATACGTAGATCTATTGATTTGTTCAATCGAGGAGCCTCTGGATACAGTTCAAGCAAGAAGAAGAGTACGAAAGTTGGAATACACACAGACAGTTGCATGAACTTGTTCTCCGAAGGATTTCGCATTCACACTTTAGTCTCACCTTTGAATTGGCTCAAGTCACAGCAAAAGTCCGATGCGTCGCACAAATCGAGAAGTGTAAGCACACTCCATGGATATAGAGAAGTATCCCTACTTCCTTTGTTTTTAGTGCTACCGAACTCTGCCGCCCAGCCACCAGACGTCCATTGGCAAGCTCTGAGTTCAGCTTGCGGTTGCGGCCCTCACCCGCAGCCATGGTGCTGCCATTGGGCACGCCCAGCACACCTGCCGATGTTGGGTTCAAGTCAAGTATATACTATCCCAGAGATCCCCACCCGCAGCCATTAAAAGCTCTGAAAGCTCGCGCTTGTGCGCCAGCGAAAGGCGACTTCGCGCAGTGTTACGCGAAGATATATGTCGCCTGCGTTCTTGTAGTCTCCAGGCGAACGCGTGGGATCATAGGTGTAGATCCCCTTCTCCACAAGGCCCAGGAACAGGAAGATCTGGGTCCAACCGGCAGCTGGCACCTGACGCTGAGCTGGGGGGGGGGCGGGCACTTCGAAGCGGACGCAATCATCGAGAGGTGCAGAACTTGAAGGATGACACAAAGGCACTCCAACTGACGAATTGCCAATGCAAAATGATGCCCTAGCGATTCTCTTGCTTGTGAAACAAATGCTTGACTTGAGAGAGGCTCAATGAATGCACCTTGCCCAGTGCGGCCAAGCCATTGGGCACATCGGCAAACTTCACACCCGCCGTGGGGGAGCAGTATCCTGCGGAGGGTAATACAGCCGAGGTCTTGCGAACAAAAGACAAGGATCCAATACATCAGAGGTCCAGGGAACATCTGAATCAAAAGAAGTGAAAAAGCAATTTCATCATCGCATCGAATGATCCAACTGACCAACCAACTAGATGGTGGGTAGCCGGCACAGTCCAGGGAAGCGGAAGTACTCCGGCACGATGTAGCCCATGGTGGCCAACATGGCCACACGTCCTAAAGCCAGCGAAGGAACCAACTCTGGCAGGTCTATGTGGCCTGAAGGAACGAACGTTAGTGACTGCAGGTGAGGTGGAGGATTAGGGACTGGAAGTCTACGTTCCAACTCACTAACATGGGGAAGCGGAAAACCATGGAAAACCACCTGTTTGTACAGGACAGGGTCATCAAAGGGGTCATTTTTTCACTTCTTTGATTGTTTCAGGGAATGTAAGTCACCAAAATGTCAGCAGGTCCTGCGCCACCCTCATTAGTAATTGCTTTGACTGCTTCATGACCAAAAGACATCCCTCAAAAGAATGCCTCTTACAACCTTCAACGTCTCTCCGCACATGTCTCAAACACTGTGGGCCACAAGCCGGCGGTTGCTGGGTCTCCGAGCCGTTCTTCAGCTCCGTTGCGCGTCGGCGCTTGAAGGCCTCCACGTCACCATCCTGGAGGTTTTGCCACACGGAGCTGGCTAGTCAAAAGAAAAGTAGGCGCCTTGGATGCCAGGCGAAAGCTCGTTGTTTCGCAGGACTAGGTGGTAACCGGCGGCATCAAGTGACCCCAAGCGTTTGGGTCCGAGGTTGGGTCTCTAGAGGCCATGGAACGTTCAAAAAGTCAAAAGCCATTCACACAATTTCAGTCAAACCCTGGGCGCATGCAATGCCCAGAGAGATCTGCCGAACGGCATTCCAGGACTGGTCTTAGGCAGGCACAGGCTCATGCCTGCTGTTCTCACAAATGACATTGTTATATAGTAAATCATGGATATTGGACCCCCTGCCCCCTAGGGGGTGCCCTGCCGAAAGCAGTGTTGAAAGCAACCACCAGGACCACCAGGACCACCGACCGTCCTTCGTGAGGCCGAAGGGGTCGAAGAATCCCACCGGAGCCTCCGTGGGCGGTGTGAGACCGAAAAGGGGTCACTCGAAGGAGAAGGCGCCTGGGTCAAACAGACCCATTGGGATTGTGCAAAAAAAAGATCAGTGGAGCAAATATGAAAAAGAACAAACAAACATGAAAAAGAAACTGACCGAAAATGATGTGTCCAACAATTTGGCTGGGTCAGTGGTTCTTAGTAACTTTGCTTTCTCGACCTTCCGAGTTTCTATCGGCTCAGGCAACTAGTGGGTACAGTCCCATTGATTTATGGAATTATCCCAATAAAGCCTTGGAACATCCATGGACCAACAGTAGCCACTACCAGCTACCGACAGCCATAAGACAGCGACCAACAGGCTTACGTCACAGTATGTGTGAGGGGTTGTAGCTCGTTGTTGATAGTTACCATTGAACAGGACAAAAAAGGACCCCCGAGAAGCTGCCTTCTAGCTCTTCTCATACTTGATTGATTGAACCATTCTTGTTCAGGAACCACTTCTGCTTCTGATTGTCAGAATGCAGCTGTTGAAATGCCTGATGGAAGTATCATCAAAACAACTGATACAGTCTTGAAAGATTCCACGTTCCACAAGAAACAAACACAAAGTACATTATCGCGACATAAGACATATTTTTTTGACCTCACCTCATTGAGGTTTGTGTTAATTCGTCAAGTTTCGTTTACATGCATCGTATTCGGGTTTCCACCAGCCGCCCTGGTTCAGTCCCCTCTTGACAATGTTGCAACTTGATTGGATTACCATTGCGGGGGTCACACCATCAACAAAAAAAATTGTTGTTTTGACTTGGCATTTCATCAAAATTGTGTCATTGTGATCAGTGAGGCATGAAAATCGACTACATGATTGGGTCAGCGTTCTTGGATTACCACCCTAAACCAATGACTATATAGCAAGCCTGAACGCCCAACTCATTCTCGAATGCACGCAAAGGAGAAGCGGTGTAGTTCGCCCAGTCCCCCCAAGCGCTGCCAGTCAGGCCATCCTGAAAACGTGGATGTTAGCAACCAACATGCCTACCACCACTATATTTCAGAAATCCTTTTGGATTGAAAATGTTCAAATGACGTTCCATCAAACCAATGTCAAACACAACACGTTGTATGGTTCATGCCTCACCCAACCCCGCACCTGAAAGAACATTCCGATGATTGCCATCATCGCAAGGCGGCCATTGGCAAGCTCTGCGCTGAGTTTTTTTGTCTTCTCGGCAGGATCAGATGAAGTCAAGACCTTGAAGCCGAAGTCTCCAGCGGCAGCAGGTGTGCCAGGAGATTGATCCTGAGAAACCTCGCAGAATGCCATGTAGGCCAAGATTTGGCCCCAACCTGCCGCAGGCACCTTGGAGATTGCTGCAAGTCCATTTGGCACGTCAGCAAATTTGAGTCCGGCGGATGGGGACAAATAGCCTGGGAGCTTGCCAGTGATCCTCAGTCAGTCAGTCAGCCTGTCTGTTTGCCAGGGCTGGCGTGGACATGTGCGCAGCGACACACATTGAAACATCAAAGCCGCATATGAAGTCAAGGTGGGGCAACAGCACTAAAGCACATTTTGGATGCAATGTTGCCGTTGGCTGTTGGAGACTAGACCTGGAGCTAGCTTAGGTTGGCGTACTTATAGGTGACATAAGTATGTCAAAAGTGATGGTATTTATAACAAGGTTTCGGATAAAGATTTAATGCATATATATATATATGTACATATATATATATATACACTTGGGTCAGATAAATATGTCTATATATACAAATATGGTCACAAGTAGGCTAAGTGCAAGACATGGTAGACTTTTGTGGACGTAGGTTTTTGAAGACGTTTGTGGGGGGGAGGGACAGGGAGAGGGAAGGGGGGAGAGGGGAAGAGAACACAGGAAGCTCACAGCTTTTGGCATCACCGCCGCAAGTCAGCCGAACTCACAGGGAATATCAGCGCCTGTCTCGCCTACGGGACCTGGAGCGGACGCGGCACTTGGCTCGCTGCCTTTCCATCTCTTTTGTATCCACAGCAGAAGCGGACCTGGCCCTGGAGCACCCGTGAGCTTTGGCCCCAACTCGTTCTTCACTAAGTCATGGAGACGCATGGCCCGTAACCCGAGTCTCAAACGGACGTCTAAAACTTTAGCGTCCTTAAATTCACGGGTTGCCACTGCGAAAACGCCTACCATCCACTCCGGCTTGAATTTTTCAGCCAATTCACCGCGGATTTGGGTCAACCTGGGTTCTTGGAACAGAGCGTAACTGGGGGGGGGGGGGGGGCCGGAGGGGGGGGGGGGAGGGGCAGGAAAAAGAAGAGTGACGAAGGGGGAGGGGGGTGGACCACGGCGTACACCGCGGACGCAGAGCCACGAGCCAGGGGGCGCAGGCCGGGTAAGACGAAGCCTTAAACACGAACAGGAGACTACGGCGAGCGCTCGCACTTTTTGGAGAAACTGACAACGTCAGAGTAGCTGGAAAATGGGAGGCCGCAAGACACTCAGCGTGGGCGAGACCGTCGGGACGCGCGCATGCTCACGAGAGGCAGCGCGTGGGCTGGCCTTGCGCTTTCGGCGCCTTGCCATTTCTCCGGAACTTAGGGGCACCCAGACCTTGGTCTCGGTAGAAGCTTCACGAAGCTTTGGACCAATTACCATTTTGGCCAAGTCCGTAGCCCGGAGGCCAATCAGTCCAGGTTTCCACTTGACATCCAGGGCTACATGTTCTCCCCACTTGCCCCCTACGGGAAAGACACCCTGTAACGCTGGCGGTGTGCCGAGGACCTCTTTGAGCTCCCCCAAGACGCTGGCTAACTTGTTAGTGTCTGGAAGAACGGCCTGCAGGGGACCTTCTAAATCTTTCAAGACAAGCGTCAAAAGCTCGTCTTTCAGGACCCAAAATTTACGGTCCCCGTTAAAATCTCCAAGCGCCTCTTCTCCAAGGTCGGGCATCCGGTCAAGCGGATGCGGTAGCAAGCTAGCATGTCAGACTGGAACTCTTCAAGTCGTGCAACTCGGTTCTCAAGAGTCTGTGGGGGAGCGGTCATTGCAAGTTCACGGGCTAGCAAGTATACGGCCGTGGGGTGAATCCAAACTGCTCGGGAGTCGGAAGTTCATTTTTTGTTTTCTGTTTTAGATGAAACATCAACAACATCCATATCAGCAGGGTATTGGTGGACTACATGGGGACCCATTTGCTGGTCGACGAGTAACGGGCTAGTTTTGGCCTCCTGGGGCAGTCCTGAGTGTATGAAGCGCAGCCAGTGCCCATAGGCCAAAGTAGGTCCTTCAAGGGTCAGAACGAATCAACACAGGTTACATCCGACTCACGACAAGTTATTTAAAAGGAAAACGAGAACCAGAAGAGGTCGTCGGGGGAAGTGGAAGCTAGAAGGAACCGAAGGTGGATCAGTAAAGTAGGTGGCACTAAGAACAATCAGAAAAATAGAACCGGCCAGAAGGGAATTCTCAAATAGGGAAAGAAAAACCTAAAAACTAAAGTACCACGTGAGACAGGAAGGCCTCACTCACCACAAACCTCCAAGCGGGGACTGGCGTGGAGCTTAAGGACTGATCCGAGGAACTACAATAGAAAACAACAAAACATTCTCCCAGGCTGTCATCTCCGTGACATTTCCCCAGCGGCCCAAGCGCCCAAGAAAGGGGCCCAGACTTAGGGTTCAGAAGAGGCAACACAAAGCTTGGGTCCAATCAACAGGTCAGTGGCCGTGAGACCGATCAAGCCGGGCTTCCACTTGAAGGACGCGCGCTCTCCCCATTTGTCTCCAATTGGGCCATGGAGCGCTGGTGGAGTTCCGAGGGACTCCTTATAAGTTCTCCCAGGACGCTTGCAAGCAAACTAGAACCACTGACCCTAAGCTTCGGCACAAGGGGCATGGTGTACAGACGTAGAAACTCAGGGCGCAACAAAAGGAGGAGAAAGGGTGCGCAGGAGGGGGGAGGGCAGCGGGGGATGTAGGGAAGACAGACGTGAGACTGGACGCACAAGGCGAAAAGAGAGCAAGGGTGGCCCTGCCGGTGCGAGCACCCACTGGTGTCTTGCGAGCAGGACCAGAGCCCCTGAAACAGGGGGGCAAGAGTACCCAAAGACAGGCCCACGGTCTCCTGCGAGCAGGACCGTGGGCTAAGGTGAGGTTGGCCTCGAGTGAGCCACGGCATGATGCTTCGTGTTTGAGTCGGGCGTCAATGGTTTGCGAAGTTGCGGAGCAGAGAGAGCAAGTACGATTGGCCTTGGAGGAGCCGCGACAGACGTCCAGGTGGGATTGACTCTGGATGGAGGTGAAGCTGGAGGAGCAGCGAGGGCATTTCCAAGAAGAAGACTTGGGCGCGTCGGAAGAGGAGGCAGGAGTGCAGGCTTTGCGGTGTTAAAGAATCATTTCGTCGGAGGTAGATGGCGAGAAGGACATGTCACAGGTGGGGCGGATGCAAGTCAGGGCCTCACAGAGCCTCGACAGATTTTTTCGTGCGCGTGGCGAAATTCTCTGGCACGATGGGCCTGTTTGCGCTTACCTTCCGCAAAGCGCCATTCGAAGGACCGGCCACAGCCTCGGCGACAAGGGATGGAAGCAGGCGGCGCACCTGGGACCTTGCAGTAGGCCTCGTGACCGGCGAGCTGCCAGGCGTCAGTGTAAACCTTACCGCATCGCCAGCAGTGGTCGGTGAGCAGGGGATCACAAGGGGCCGGGGAACCGACAGGCAGTAACCATCGAGGCGAGTGTTGGGTTTGTTCATGCTCGACCCTTGTCAGCCAAGGCATCAGCATAGTCGTTACCCGGGCTGCCTGAATGGCCCTTACAACCTTACACCACCGTATGACGCGGAGAGTGGAAAGACGGCGATAAATGTCGACAGCAGTGGTAGCAAGTTCCTCGTTAGCCGCACAGCAGGGGCAGCGATACCAGTGATTATGTCATGGGCGTAAGTGGAATCGAACCATATGGTAGCAGGAGCATTTGCGGGGCCAGGAGCTTCCTTTTCCAGGGCTTCCGCGACTGCTGTTAGTTCCCCGGTATTGTTGGAGGCAGTCCGCGCACCGAGCCAGCGGGCGTCCCATTCGAGGTCAGAAGAGAGACAGCCTTCCCAAATTGCCACGCCCCAACCTGCATCCGGATGACGTTCGTCTGGTCCAGCACCGTCGGTATAGAGGGCCCACCCCTTAAAGGAGTCAGGAACCAAAGCAGGCGGCACCGAAGAAGGTATCAAAGCCAGGATGACAGGAATATCATCCACTGTCCGAGGGATGACAGGACACTGGTGACGGCGGACTTCTCTCGCAGTGACGAAGACCTGACTGCATTTGGGGCACTTGGAGTGGAAGACAGTGGTGACAGCAGGGTCGTGAGGGGCGTGGAGGTTGTCATAATACGTCTGGAGGGCCGTGGCAGAAGCGCCCACATAAGGACACGCCGGGCGTGGCCAAGATGGAGGGACGCTCCTCGGCGTCGGAAAAAGGATCTACCGGGGGAGGCGCGGCATCGGTGAGCATGGCAGCAGGGACAGGGGGCAGGGGCAGCCCAGGCCGCCAGCTGTTGATCAAGCGGTCGTCGTCACGGGACGGGCCTTGGCGGGGTAAGAGGGAGTTGACCAGCCGTAGACTCACATGGGGAAGGTAAAGCGGCAGGAACGATGTCTATAGTCATCCCCTCTGGCCACCCAAAGAGAGCAATCTTAGGCAGTCTAGAAATTGGCATGCGGGCGATATGGCCGACCCAACGCAGGACTTGGCGTTGGAGTAGATGTTCAAAAGTATCCCAGTGCACGAGTCTTCGCAAAGCCGCGTCAGCAATATTGAACTCACGCATATTCAAGGCATCAAGGCCCAGCGCACGGCGAATCCCACGAGAGAGCACCTGTTGCGCTTTTCGAACTTGAACGGTAGACCAAATACAGAATTGCCGCCAGCTAATAGCTAGAGTACCTTCGAGAACACTGCGCATAACGCGCAGGCGACGTGATTTTGCCAACCCACCAGGTTTACCCCGGCCTCGATGGGCGCCGAGGGACCACAACCGGGCAATGCGCCGAACCGCAAAAAAACCAGTCCGCACCCGAGGTGTTTGAGCATCTTCCGTTCAAATTGGTTATAAGGACCTCCGTGGCCCCTGCCGCCTGCACAGAGACTGAGCTTTTCTCGTTTGTCCGGGTGTTCCTGTTGCGCCCAATCGTGCAATGTTTGGACGAAAATATCTTCAGCCAAGCTCACCTCGTCTTGCTCGCCAAAAATCTGAGTGTCATCAGCATACTCGACGTCGCCCAGGACGACCGAGTGGACCCCGCGAGAAGAGGTCTTGCCTGCGCCTGAGCGAGTTAAACGACCATCAACTTTGAAAGCCCAAGACAGGCCGGGCGCCATACCGTGGGCAGAGGCATTAGCGGCTCTCCGACAACGGAAAGTGCGCAGCGCAAAGGTGTGGAAGATGTTGAATAGAACCGGGGAAGACGGGCATCCCTCGCGAAGGCCAGGGTCGGTGAGCCAAGGCGTGGAATACCCATTGTGGATGAAGACTTGGAACTGCGTGCGGTCATGCAAAGCTTTGAGCACATTGAGAAAAGAGGAGGGGACACCCAAACGTTGAAGGAGGAGCCATAAGGCACATCTGTGCACGCGAGTGTACGCTCGGACGATGTCGAAACTGGTCACTGCGACTCGTCGGTCGTGG